TCATTTTGACCGTCTGTAAACCGTCAAATCCTCGAGCACTCTGGGAGAAGTACAAAGAGGCTCTGAGTGAAGATGTACTCAGGGAATGTCGCAGAGGGTTACCCTCTGCAGACATCGGTTACTCTCCCGAGATATTCAACCGAGCGTTGATACTGCTTGAGGATACGTGCGTGTCGATGAACGGTCAAACTCTCAGAGACCTAGGTTTGACGCCGCCAATACGCGGAGATGACCAGGCACTCGAGAGCGATGTTCTCCGAGAGAGGTCCTATGATGCCGATCAGCTGACTACATATGTAGAGTCTAACAGACCTCTTCTTACGGAGGATCAAGAGTTGGTCTACCGTGCTGTTCTGGACACGATTTCCAGTGGCAGAGGTGGGCTACTCTTTCTCGACGCTCCGGGTGGAACAGGGAAAACGTTCCTCATCAATCTCCTACTTGCCGAGATTCGCAGACAAGGAGGAATCGCAGTAGCAGTGGCATCCTCGGGGATTGCCTCAACACTGCTAGAAGGAGGCCGAACTGCTCATTCAGCCTTCAAGCTTCCTCTGGATATTGCTCATGTAGAGCACCCAGTGTGTGGGATAAGCAAAGGCACAGGGAAAGCCAAGGTGCTACAAGAAACCAAACTCATAGTTTGGGACGAATGCACCATGGCGCATAAGAAGTGCCTGGAAGCCCTTGACAACACACTGCAAGACATCCGAGAAAGCGACACGCTAATGGGTGGGGCCGTCGTGCTACTGGCAGGCGACTTTCGTCAGACTCTGCCAGTAATTCCGCGATCGACTCCAGCAGATGAGCTGAACGCTTGCCTTAAAGCTTCTCCTCTCTGGAGACATGTTCGATCGCTGAATCTCACGACGAACATGCGAGTCCACCTCCTTGGCGATGAGACTGCCCGAAACTTTGCGCAACAGCTGTTGCTTCTTGGCGAAGGCAGAATTCCGGTTGAACCAAGTTCTGGCTGGATTACCTTCCCTCCAGACTTCTGCAATATGGTTCAATCGGTGGGAGAACTGATCGAAAAGGTCTTCCCAAACATTGCCACCAACTTCAGCAATGGGGACTGGATTTGCGAGCGAGCAATTCTGGCACCCAAAAATGAGCAAGTGGATTCTATCAATGCTCAGATTTTAAACAGCCTACCTGGACCGGTATCAACGTACACGTCCTTTGATACCATGGTTCAGCGTGAACAGGCTGTTTACTTCCCCACTGAGTTCTTGAATTCACTCCAGCCCAATGGGATACCACCTCACAGACTTGATCTGAAGGTTGGTTTGCCAATCATGCTCCTTCGTAACATCAACCCACCGAGGATGTGCAATGGTACAAGGCTTTGCATCAGGGATCTCATGCCAAACGTCATAGTAGCGACCATATTGGCGGGGAAGTTCAAAGGCGAAGTGGTTCATGTTCCACGAATCCCTTTCGTCCCCTCCGATATGCCCTTTGAGTTCAGGCGAGTGCAGTTTCCGGTCAGGCCTGCACTTGCTATGACGATCAACAAAGCGCAAGGACAGTCTCTACGAACAGTAGGAGTAGACCTGGAAACTCCCTGTTTTTCGCATGGTCAACTGTACGTGGCGTGTTCGAGGGTCGGGAGTCCGGCGAACCTGTACATATATGCGCCCGAAGGGAGCACGGCTAACGTAGTGTATCCCAGGGCGCTAACATAGTTGCATGCTGTAGTATAGTACAGTATTTATTTGTTGCATGCCATTCTATTGGAAAATCCAAAAAAAATTGGAAAATGCAAAATCCAAAAAAATGGCAAAACGAAAACCCAAAAAAACGGCGGCCAGCGGCGGTCAGGGCAGGTGGGTGGGACAAACAAGAAGCTGGACAGATCCAGTAGAGCTTCCCTCCTTACTGATGAGTTCCGGGGAAAGCCTAGGACCTGTTTAGCCAAACCGTCTGAGGGTAGGAACGAAACGGTACATCCTCTTCTTGAGGAACGAAATGGAAGGACGACTATCGGCATCGGCTGCCTCTGTTGAGGACAACCATCGGTTGCCTCTGTTGAGGACAACCATCGTACCAACCATCTGTTGCCTCTGTTAGGACAACCATCGGTACAACCATCGGTTGCCTCTCTTGAGGACAACCATCGGTACAACCATCGGTTGCCTTTTTTGAGGACAACCATCGGTACAACCATCGGTTGCCTCTGTTGAGGACAACCATCGGTACAACCATCGGTTGCCTCCGTTGAGGACAACCATCGGTTGCCTCTCTTGAGGACAACCATCGGTACAACCATCGGTTGCCTCTGTTGAGGACAATCATCGGCACAACCATCGGTTGCCTCTCTGAGGACAACCATCGGTTGCCTCTGTTGAGGACAACCATCGGTACAACCATCAGTTGCCTCCGTTGAGGACAACCATCGGTACAACCATCGGTTGCCTCCGTTGAGGACAACCATCGGCACAACCATCGGTTGCCTCTCTGAGGACAACCATCGGTTGCCTCTGTTGAGGATAACCATCGGTACAACCATCGGTTGCCTCTGTTGAGGATAACCATCGGTACAACCATCGGTTGCCTCCGTTGAGGACAACCATCGGCACAACCATCGGTTGCCTCTCTTAAGGACAACCATCGGCACAACCATCGGTTGCCTCTCTGAGGACAACCATCGGTTGCCTCTGTTGAGGACAACCATCGGTACAACCATCGGTTGCCTCTGTTGAGGACAACCATCGGCACAATCATCGGTTGCCTCTCTGAGGACAACCATCGGTACAACCATCGGTTGCCTCCGTTGAGGACAACCATCGGTACAACCATCGGTTGCCTCTGTTGAGGATAACCATCGGTACAACCATCGGTTGCCTCCGTTGAGGACAACCATCGGCACAACCATCGGTTGCCTCTCTTGAGGACAACCATCGGCACAACCACCGGTTGCCTCTCTGAGGACAACCATCGGTTGCCTCTGTTGAGGACAACCATCGGTACAACCATCGGTTGCCTCTGTTGAGGACAACCATCGGTACAACCATCGGTTGCCTCTGTTTAGGACAACCATCGGTTGCCTCTGTTGAAAACAACCACAATTTAAGAGCCAAAGTTGTTTTCTCTTTTGAGGAATATAACTTCGTTTTTTTACCGAAGTGTATGTGATGCCGGGCGGAGGCGGTTATGCCAGCTACCGGTTGATGGGTTTTAAAAGCAGTGTCCGAGCAAGCAGTTGATTTTGAGATTTGTGCTTGCCCGGGCATACTCGCTATGCTAAATCGGAAAATCCACACCTGAGTGCGCAAAAACGGCGATAAAGGGCTTTAACGCAGAATGGTAGCAGCAGGTGGGGGGGGGGAGGATCTACACCGCTGTGAGTTTACTCTCCCAGCTTCCTGAGCAATCCCAACTAGCTCTACTTGGAACAGGGCTCTCATACTTTGCACTACCCGGTCAGAGACACCCGTCACTCGCGGCATACCAAGCCTTACCGCTCCACTATCTGTTGGAGTGCCAACTGCTTTAGCAGGACCAAAAGGATTCCAATGGCAGGTATTGCGTTACACAACAAAGGAAGGAGCAGTGACGTTTTTTTGACAAGCATAACTTCAACCATATCTATCGTCAAAAAGCTTGAATGTTAAAAGATTCTATGACGTGATTTGTTGTGTATGCTGATCTGCAAATAGCGGCCGGTCTCGGTCGGCGGTCAAAAATCGACAAAATCGATAAAAGTAATGGACGATTTCAAAAACTAATATTGTATTCGTAATCAGCATGCTCGATTACCCCCCTGTGCAAACTCCCAGCTCCGCAGGTCAAACTTTGCGAAAAAATCGATAAAATTGATAAAAGTAATGGATGAATTCAAAAACTACTATTGTATTCGTAATCAGCATGCTCGATTACCCCCCTGTGCAAACTCCCAGCCCCGCAGGTCAAACTTTGCAAAACAATCGATAAAATCGATAAAAGTAATGGATGAATCCAAAAACTAATATTGTATTTGTAATCAGCATGCTCGATTACCCCCCCTGTGCAAACTCCCAGCCCCGCAGGTCAAACTTTGCAAAGCAATCGATAAAATCGATAAAAGTAATGGATGAATCCAAAAACTAATATTGTATTTGTAATCAGCATGCTCGATTACCCCCCTGTGCAAACTCCCAGCCCCGCAGGTCAAACTTTGCAAAGCAATCGATAAAATCGATAAAAGTAATGGATGAATCCAAAAACTAATATTGTATTTGTAATCAGCATGCTCGATTACCCCCCTGTGCAAACTCCCAGCCCCGCAGGTCAAACTTTGCAAAACAATCGATAAAATCGATAAAAGTAACGGATGAATCCAAAAACTAATATTGTATTCGTAATCAGCATGCTCGATTACCCCCCTGTGCAAACTCCCAGCCCCGCAGGTCAAACTTTGCAAAACAATCGATAAAATCGATAAAGGTAATGGATAAATCCAAAAACTAATATTGTATTTGTAATCAGCATGCTCGATTACCCCCCTGTGCAAACTCCCAGCCCCGCAGGTCAAACTTTGCAAAACAATCGATAAAATCGATAAAAGTAATGGATGAATCCAAAAACTAATATTGTATTTGTAATCAGCATGCTCGATTACCCCCCTGTGCAAACTCCCAGCCCCGCAGGTCAAACTTTGCAAAGCAATCGATAAAATCGATAAAAGTAATGGATGAATCCAAAAACTAATATTGTATTTGTAATCAGCATGCTCGATTACCCCCCTGTGCAAACTCCCAGCCCCGCAGGTCAAACTTTGCAAAGCAATCGATAAAATCGATAAAAGTAATGGATGAATCCAAAAACTAATATTGTATTCGTAATCAGCATGCTCGATTACCCCCCTGTGCAAATTCCCAGCCCCGCAGGTGAGTTGCGTGGCGTCGAATAGTCAGTCAACAAGGCGACCAATCAGAGCCCGCCACCGCCCGACCCCGCCCCCGCGGGGTATATAAGGCGGCGGGCTCTGAGGTCACCTCATTGCAAGAGTTGTCGGTGTGATGGACGGGATCAAGGTAAAAATAGTGGATCTCTTCGCGTGTATCGAGAAGATCGATGGAGATTTTCTTATCCTGAACGAGGATAGAGTGTACAAGATTCTACGAGACGGACGTCCGAAGAAGCCGAAAGTACTAGGAAGCCGGCAGGTTCATCTTGAGGAGACGCGCACACCGCCCGCTAAGAGGCGGTAAGTTTTTTCGAAGTTCTATTGATTGTCTAACTAATTTCCGATTTCCAGCCACTCGCCTGCTCCACCGAGGGCACCGAAGCCACCAAAGCCCACTTCGTCTACTGCAACTCAGTCAAACTAGCATCGGCGCAACGACGGAGGAGGACGTCGAGCGAATCGCTCGGGCTGTCGCAGCTATTATGAAAAAAGAGAAATCAACCAAGGATGAAAACACTGACACGACCATTGTTGTTGATTGAGTTTCTACAACTTGGCAAGTTGCAAAAGTTGTTAATAAATGATGTGTTGCTAATGTGTGAGAAAGACCAACAGTTTGAATGAAAATGAATGAAAGTTTGAATGTATAGTGGGGGCTCTGCGTGGGGACCTCCGAATCGATGAGGCCCATTTGAGCCGAAGTTGTACTCCTCTTCTTGAGGAATACAACTTCGGCTTTTTTTACCGAAGTGTATGGGGCGCCGGGCGGAGCCGGGTAAGCCAGCTATAAATAATGTGTTGCTAATGTGTGAGAAAGACCAACAATTTGAATGAAATATACAGTGGGGGCTCTGCGTGGGGACCTCCAAATCGATGAGGCCCATTTGAGCCGAAGTTGTACTCCTCTTCTTGAGGAATACAACTTCGGCTTTTTTTACCGAAGTGTATGTGGCGCCGGGCGGAGCCGGGTAAGCCAGCTAGTCCTCTTTATAATAGATGCTTTTTGTTTTCGCTTCGTGGAGTTTTCGCGTACAAATTCATCATAATTCGTATTTCCGAACGCGTTCCGGGCTGTACCCGGAAAAATCGAAATTAGATATTTCGATTCCGTAAACTCTCATTCGCTTTGCAAAATTAGTGATAAATCATAATACCATCTTGGAAGTTTTGAATTCCGAAGATTTATTGGTGTTTGATGCGAATGTGGCTGACGTAGGCCTGTCAAAATTCGATGGTTTCAATAATAAATCTTTTAAGAAATTATGGCGAGATATAAAAACGAAAAAAAGTCATATCCTATAAGGTTTGTTCTATCAAATCGTCAATTGTACACCTTCGGAGGGTTGAAGTAAAAAATTTAGAAAAATTGTGAAACTTGACCATCTCAAAAAGCATGGATCGCAGAGTTTCGTAATTTTTCAAAAGCTTACTGATTGTGCTGCAATAATTTTGAAACCATCGTTAGAAAGAGGACGAAATTCTGCATTGAATGTTTTCAAGATCTCTTAGAAATCTTTGTTCCATCACATGTGGCGTCCGTTTGAAAAAAGCGAAATTACTTTCGGAATGGCCTAATATATAGACATATTTGGTCATTGGGAACGAGTGGGGTAGTGGTATGAGGCACCTATGACACATCGGACGCATCCGGCCTTTGGGCCAACCAAGCTTTTACGCTTCAGTGTGGGTAAATTTGTACCAGAGTAATCTGGGAGGATAAAAGCACTGACTTGGTCATCGGGTCCCCGCAATGCACTGCAATATGCCCGCACGCACCATCAGCCTCTTTGAGTAGAGTAGAGTGCGTTTGGCACATGCTCGCAGAGGGTACTAAGACGCCAAATCCTTCACCTTTTTTTTGATTTAATCGCAAATTTTTCCCACATCTTTTGCCGAACTCATATATGGGATACTATTCTGTAGTTTTGCTTCAATTTGGACATATGTACATTATGAAGCAATTCAACATTTCCACTTCACTGCTGTAAGATTACCTTGGAAAAGTGAAAAGGGTTTTAGGACAGTGGGGGCCATATTTTGCCTAAGAAAGGAAATCAGAAAAACCAAAAGCGCATACATCAGGGTATCAAAAGTTATTAAGAACACAAACTTCCACCCGACCGTAATGCCTTGTAGGTTACTTCAGGTACAGCGCGGAAATTTTACGTCTCTTAAAATGTGGTTGTGCAAAGAAGCTGAAAATTTTGTGAAAATTGTGTAGCGAAATCAGCGTACGTAAAAACACTGCCAAACAAATTTTTAGATATTTTCGGAAAATTTTTCTAAACGGCTGATTTCGTAAGCTGAAGATTCCTATCGTAATCACTCAATAATAAATGCTAAGGGTAATCCACGTTTTTTTCTGCAAATGTGAGCTGTGAAAAAGTCATTGTGTGAAGAGAGATATTAGCAAGCAAAGACTGTGCAGACGCTTTGAGAGACTCTATATGTGCTATGAATACTGAATTCTCAAATATTCTATGCTCAACGAATATTCGCGTAGTCAAAGCTCATCGAATTTTCATATTCGTGCTCATCGATTATTCGCATATTCGACGAACATCGAGTAATCGAAATGATGGCCATCGAATATTCGACTGGGGACGAGTGGCGTAGTGATATGAGGAGCCGCTATGACCAGATCGGACACAGGTTTGATCCCCGCCCCTGGGTCAATCAAGCCCTCTACCCTCCGGGGCCGGTAAATTGGTATTAGAGTAATCTGGGAGGATAAAAGCACTGACTTGGTAAACGGCTGGCCCCCGCAAGTCGCTGCATTAGGCTCGTACGCATGCAGTTGCCTCTTCGACTATGAAGTAGTGTGCATTCGGCGTATGCCCGCAGAGGGAATTGAAGACGCCAAATCCTTTATCTTTTATCCTTATTATTCACTATCGCATAATATTCAAAAGTTGAGATTTTAGAATATTAACTTCCGAATGATATTCGAAAATGAAAATTTTCAAATATCCGACTATTGATAATATTCGAGGTCTCGGATTTTAGACTATTCAAGTTCTCGAATCATTCGAATGCATACGATTCTGTTCAAAAAATAGTAGGCAGTCAGCGTTCAAATAATCTTAACTGATAATCTTTTCATTTGGAGAGCCGTTTCATGCCCGTATGCACGTGCAACCCTGCGGGGAGATGAGTGATCTGAGAGAGGACGAGCCACATCTCGTTACTTTAAATATCTTTTTTCTTCTTTCTTTATATGGCTTTTGAATGTTTTCATACCCTGATACCTCTCCATGATGGATGCCAGGTTACTGGCATACAAGGTTAGATATTCATTATTTTAGGTAGTCCTCTGGGACCTCTCATTTTCAAACTCACTTATCTTTCTACAAACTCAAGAAAAACGCGGTGAAATTGTGCTGAAAATATGGCGGCACTGCTGAGCATGTTTTCGACAAGGTAAATGGGATATGAAGCTTGTGATTTCCATAATCTCGCGAGCGGAGGCTCATCGAAAATTTCGATACTTTGAGATTCTACTTGTCTCTACTATAAACATGTATAACAGTGCCCTAGTATATCTTCAGTACATTTCACCGCGTTTTCTTTGAGTTTTCAGAAGTATAGATGAGTTTGAAAATGAAAGGCGATCCCCTAAGAATCCCCAAGGGACCACAGGGGATCACACAAGATAGTGAATTTCTAATTTATGGCAGTACCCCGGCAACCATACGCGCAGGTATCAGGGTATGAGAAACTACATAACCCCCATGGAAAAAGAAGAAATGGTTGTCTAGAGTAGCGAGATATGACTCGTCCCTCTCAGATCCCCTCCCCTCCACACGGGGATGTACATGCGTACGTGCCTTAAAGTCAAATACCTTCTTTCATAAGTAAGTCAGGGTGGCATGTGGCACATTCTAGGTTTCACTTCTAAATCGTATCTAAGGTGCCTTCATACCGCCAACCACCGCTAGCAGCCCATAGCAGCCCGCAGCAACCGCCAGCAGCCCGTGGCCACCTCTGGTCGCTTTTGTCATAGAAGCGCAGAACCATCAAATCCTTACTACTTCAGTGCAACTGTGCAACTGCCTACGCTCTCCATTTTCTACGCTTTTTCTTTCCTGTGGCCGGTGTACAATGCCATCTCAGATATATTTTTGTCCACTGCTGTTATTATCTTGTTGCCGTAGAGTGACTTTGGATGCGTCCAGTTCCTGCAAGTGCCTTTTTCTTTATTTTTTGTATAGTTTTGCCAATCATATCCCTGGCTATCGTGCTTATCTCGAATGACTCTGTAACGTGTGAAAATCGAACTGCAAATTAGCGGCAAAAAAAAGAAAAAAGCGTGGAAGATGGGAAGTGTGGGGAAGCGTATACAAAGTAGTAAAAATTTGCGGTGTTTGTGTGTTTTGCGTTTCTTTGACAAAAGCGGCCGCGGCGGCCACGGGCTGCTGGCGGCTGCTGCGGGCCGTTACGGGCTGCCAGCAGCGGCTACTCTGCGGGAGGTTGTTACGGGTGCTATGGGCTGCTAGCGAGGGCTGAAGGCGAGGTATGAAGGCACTATAATGCGTCTAGGGAAATTTTAAGTTTTGGTGTTTATTAGAGAGTAAGAGTGCAATCCTCAAAATTTCAGATCTAGTAGTCACTGTTTGTGTGATGTCAGTGCTGCAAAGTCAGCGCCAAGATTAGTTTCGCACCATGAATATCCGAGGTAGAAGCGAATTACATCTGCCCAACCTCAAGAGTCGGCTACGAGATTTGAAAATTTTTAGAGAGTAAAAAATTATAAATTTCAAGCTCTGCATCATGTGCAAAATATTGAAAAATCTCAAAATCTAGCAAAGTCTCAAGTTAATCGAATTAGATTTTCTTTAGTCGCTCTTGAAAAAAAAACCTTGAGGAGCTTATCAATGACCTCCAGAGAACGTGGCAACTTTGCTCTTTTTTCAGGCCATCTTCCGCACCCAAGAACCTCCCGAACTTTCAACAGTAGTGTAAATAATCTGCAAAACTGTTGAGGGCTTTTTTTTCACTAGCAACATGAAAGGCAGCCACTTCAGTAGAAAATTTATTGTAAACATGGTACGTTCTAAATTTGATCACTTCAGGGCCTGTAGTAACTCTCCCCCCCCCCCCTCAAGTTGTGAAGACTCGCTCGGAGCGCGGCCAATGCCCGGGCAATGCCTTATTGCTGCCGCCCCATGATAAGGCGACGTGACCGAAGAAATGTCCGGCGTAACGCCGCGGCAATGCCGCCGGCACGACAAGGCAGCACCAGCGTCAGAGCCCGGCACAGATGGTCTGGAATCAAACTAGACTTCGTTTTTGGGGTTAAAAGCACCTTTTTATAAAGTTCTGGGCGGAGCGCTGAAAAAAACCACAAACATGTCAGGTTTTACGAGTTGAACGTGTTTCGCAAGCTCGCGAGTTTCAAACACATGATTCAAACAAACAAATGGCTTGTTCACAGTGCATAAACAATCACGTAACACCAATTTTGGGCTATGTGTATACAACATTACTTCAAACTACATTATGTAAAAAGTCCTAATACAGTGCTGTATAAAATTATAGGTCCACTCTTAAAAGTGCCATAACTTACTCTGTTGTCAATAAAATGTTCCAGAATTTGGTACAGCCGTGCGTTTACCAGCCTACTATCAGTCATCAAAATGGGTCTCGTTTTCTTTTGGTTATTCGAGAAAAAATTGAAAATTTTGAAAAAATCAGGCTCGAAGGCTGGACAAAATTATAGGTCCACCTGGATATTTTACTGATTAAAGCAATTCTTAGCTCCCGAATTTTTAGATAGGTGCACATCTAAAAACATTAAACAGCTGCTTTAATCAAGCTGTGTCATTCCTCCACAAAGAACTGATTATCCGCTTTTTTGCCTTGAAGATGCTCTCACATGCATTTCGCTCCACAAACCTGCGTTGAGAAAGAAATTTTGCAGTTTCTCAGCTGGATCGAAAGGGACGGGGTTTCATCTACCTTCTGGATGCTTTTTGATGTGAGCATTGAGGAAAAAATTCGACTTTTTGCTGCTGAAGCAAATCCGACATTAAGAGTACTGCAATCGTGAGCTCAAATTTCTGCCTCCAAACTTCTTTTACAATGTTCTCAGGAAGCAATAAGTAAGGTAAAGGCACTGCTTCTACAAAGGGGAGTCCGTATTCCATAGTTACAACTTCCTAGAGATCCCAGCATTCAATATAATTACTGTAATCACCCTGCAGAAACTGATTACGACAAGCACAGAAAATTTGTGATTTCGACCAAGATTTTCAGATGAATCATGTGCTAACTACACTACAAGCTGTACCCACTATTATCTAGTAAATAATTACTGTCAAAAATCTAAGTGAGGTAGCACTTGGCAAGCTATTTTGGGTCGCGTAACACCATTATTACGTTGCACACACAACTCATGTTTCGAGAAAAAAAGCAAGGCAACTTTGTGGACACTTGCGATTCTGGCGAACAGCTTTATTCTTGTGTAAACGCTTCTACAATATCTTGAGCTTATAATGACAATGCATAAAGGGTTTTAAGGCAGAAACTGAGGCTTACTCTGCGATTAAGCAGAGTAAGCCTCAGTTATAACCTTCCGATCCAGCTGAGAAAGTGCAGAAATTCTTACTTACGCAGGTTTCTGGAGCGAAATATATGTAAAGGCATTTTCAAGGCAAAAAAGCAGATAACAAGTTTTTTTGGAGGTATGACACAGCTTGACCAAAGCAGCTGTTTGACGTTTTTAGATGTGTGCCTACCTAAAAAATTCGGGAGCTAAGAAGTGCTTTAATCAGTAAAAACTTCAGGTGGACCTATAATTTTGTCCAACCTTCAAGCCTGATTTTCTCAAAATTTTTGATTTTTTCTTGAATAACCAAACGAAAACGGAACCCAATTTGATGACTGATAGTAGGCTGATAAACACAAGGCTGTACCAAATTCTGGGACATCTTATTGACAGCAGAGTTATGGCACTTTTTAAAGTGGACCTATAATTTTGTCAGCACTGTACCCGTTCCCGAATTTGTTGGTTTCTAGACCAACACTAAACCAACTGGGTTGGTTCGGAGCATAAATATTGGATAGTTCACGTAAGTTTTGAACCTTTTTGATTTACATGATTAGAACGCTCAAAAGTTTATCATATAGTAAAGAGAGCAAATAAAACCATTGCTTCTCCTCTTTTTTGAGCCAAAATAGTGTAAACCTACCACTGATATATATCGCGCATTAATCAGTGCAGTGTAAAATGCACCTCCACATTGTTGAATCCACAGATATGGTTGGTCTAAAAGGTTCCCAACATTCTGAACACTGAAATAGTACTATACTCAAGACGGAGTCTTTAATTTACTCAATGTTTTTTGCTATTTTGTTACATTAAATACCTTGAAATGCGCTTTTTTCGCTTTTTTATTGTTGTGTTGATTGAATAAGCGTTTTCTCATTGATTTTTACGCCAAAAGGGACATCGTATTTTCACTAAGTCATGGTGCGTTTTAAAAAATGCTCCAAACCAACGTGTGCCGGGCCATGACCAGCGTCCCCGTCTGCAGACGAAAATACGAGGTCTTCATTGGAGACGCAAAGAGGTGGTGGTGCCGACAAATGACTAGCGGTCGAGTACGTCAGGGGTGGTGGTGCCGCCCGCTGTCCGTAAATGCACGCGAAGAATCAAAACGCACGCCACATACAATCAATATGAACAGCTAATAGCGCACAGTCGGGAGGCGCACAGCTAATCTTCTTCTCTACTGTTATTTTATTTTTTCTGATGTTTGCTTCGTAACCTAGACAAGATAAGTCTATTTTCACTAGCAGGCATCTTGAGGTCCTCTCCAGCCAAATTTGTTGCTCTTGAGCGTTTTGTAACTCCAATGTTCGTTTTGCGGCGGGTTTACTCTTGATGATTTTCTGCATGCCTTTTTATATTTTCTTGCATTTTATGCAGTTCACTCAAAACTCTTGTGTGTTTTTTGCTTTTCAATAGCTGTGCACCAGTTTATGTCCTTCTATTCAAATGAGGAAACGATTTGGTGCTGTAGCTAGTGAAATTGCATAAACTCGTACAGATCATTAGTAAAAGTTTCATAAACTTGCATATTTTTCAATATATCTTCGATATTTTCTACACGTTAATTTACGTCCAACAGCCTTTTGAGTTCTTATAATCACAAAAAAACTTGGCATGCATGTGTTTTTTGATATGACTTTGCAAAAGATTTGCCGTATTCGTGAGTTGTCCTCCAGACGTCCAGCTCAGTAGCGCGCGACACAGACACTGCAGTGATCGTTCCTCCCAGATATCGCAAACTTAATGTTTACAATCGCAAAGTGGTAGCTGTATGTATACTTGCGGCAGGACTCGGCTTTGATGAGGCTACTTTCTAATTGCAAGATATTAGCTTGAGGGCCTATCCCTCTTCATTATGGACATTCCTCTTTCTCAGGCGTCTGACAAAGACATTGTCTAGAGCGCAAAGTGGCTGCGGCGCTGTTCAGGTCGCCCGTTCGACGTCGGGTGATCACGGAGAGTTTTGCGGCGGGCGTCCAACGCCCGTCGTGCTCAAGTTGTGACTCGTTTTGGGCGGTCATAACCGCGTCTTTTTGAGTTGTGACGACTTTGGGGATTACTACCATCCCAGGACTCAGAGACGCGCCCAGATTTTTTTCGCTGCTTCCATGTTTAGAAATGTGCCTTGTAGAGATTAAGCTTGCATTACTGTGGCTTGTGTGTCAGTAAAAATACATACATGAGACGTTGCAAACCTGAATGAGATTGCGAATGTTCGTATTATCTTCACCGGAATCAATTTTTATGAAGGCAAGAACTCTACGGCTTCGATACACGTGAATTAGCAGCGACGTCAGATTGTAATTTGCTTCTTTCCACGAATCGTCTCCTTCTAAAGCCGGCCAAACACCGAAACTCTAAATCAATTAGTTGGAAGATGCCCGCGAGTAGATATAAGTCCGACCTCGATGTTCTCTATCAATCGCTTAGCACCGATATGGTTCAGTTCATTCTTGTCCATACACTTTTTGTAGAAGGCTTTCAGAGCACTGACAGCTTTTGATTCATTCACGTCGTTTGATTCAAGTAAATCTTAACATGTACTGCTTGGACGAACGTCGAGGCGAAAGATGCAATATTTCACCAACAAAAAGACAGCTGAATTACGCTTGCATCACTTTTTCCATAAGATCAGGTTTTAATACGTTGCCAAAAATTTACTAATCCACTTGCGAAAAAACTGCATCCAAAATCTGCATCTACGTCGCGTAGGCAAATGCTAAAAGAAGAGCAATGAAGACTGCTATGACTGCAGGTTTGCAATACCTCCCCTTGTAACCTCCCTTGCTATTTGAGCATTTCTCATCCCTTTTCCTATTTAACTTTCATGTCTCCGCTTACTCAACCCTCCCATATTTTCGATCTTGCTCGATCATGCTGCGGGTGGAAGAAAGGAATGGTGGAGTTTTAAAAATTACTGTTTGAAAATTGCGATTTATCGTTCCAGAAGTAAATGAAAATGTGAGTCTTCTTAAAAAACGTGTTGGCTATCCGGCTACTTACAAGTCAACATTCGGTATCCGTGGGCTTTTGAGATGCGATGAGAATTGATGAGAATTTTACACTCGTCTCGGAACGCTGATTCCGAATCTGGTTTCATTTCTGCTAATCGTTTCTCTGAAAGAAGCTATGAAGGATTTTTGCGCCAAATTTGGCCGTCTTGATGCAGGTGTGAGTTCGAATCTTTTTAGTTTTTCAGTTTTGCGTTGCCGCAATTTCCCAATTTTCCATTTTCGAAGAGCAGCCGCATGGTTCTATGATCGGCTTACAGATTCGTGTGGTGTATTGCAGATTTTGCCTGATAACACGGATAAACTTGTTAGACTCCACGTTATAGCATTGCTTTTCGTACTCTCTCGCTAGGAAAAACCGCCACGTGTGAGTTGGCAAGACTCCACCTCCACGAATCTGGAAGCCGATGGTACTTTGAGGATGCCTAACATCGAAAAAAAAGCCTACTTGAGGCAATGCAAAACTGAAAAATACGAAAGGATAACACAAAACTACACCTGCATCAACATGTGAGTCTCTAGCAGTAACTAATCACTACACCGCAACGTACCGGCGCTATTGGCCGTTCCGACAGTATATCCTTGGGCGGTCAAACTCGGCCCGGAAATCCTACATAACTTTATTCGAAGAAATGATTAACAGAAACGGAAGTTAGATTCGGAATCAGCGTTCCAAGGCAAATGTAATGGTTTATATATGTTCTCAAAAAAACTACGGACAGACATCGAGTATGCCTTTAAAACTCAAAAAACTTAAATATCTGGCTGGCGCAAAACAATGAGGGAGTTCTTACTTTGTCGTGCTATAACTTTCTGAAAGAATTACAATTTTTATGCAGTAAAGCCATCAAAAGCATCAATTCTTTCGCGGTAAAGCGCACATCGAGATAATAAAAAAGAAAATAACCCAAAGTTGTCACCTTTTTTCCATACACCTAAAATCCCTAAGTTACTGAGTTTTTTGATTTTTCATGTACAAAGCAGTTTTTGCAAAAAAAAAACATGGCAGATGTCATTAGATATCTCCTACCTAAATAGTCATCTTTTGCCGCAACCATCCAGCGGAACCGGTGTGAGTTACACATCAAAATGCATTAGGTTTCGCGTTTTTATCAGAAAACCTATATTGGTTGAACACGCAAGATTTCACAATTATGAATTTCAAACGATGCAAAATTTAATCTAACAAGAAAGAGTTCCCAAGGCAGCTCTGCCAACCCGGAGAGTTATATTAGGTTGATTCATAATTAATGCACGTTTTTCTCACCTCTTCTTTCAAGAGCTGGTATTTAATGTGTAATCAATTTCCTCAAAAACTTTTTATGCTATCTGAAAGAGCGCTTTTTCTAGTTTCTTATGTAGCCTTTCGCTTTCGTACATATCCGTTCACTTCAAAGTTCTGAGCCTACAAATAAAAGACACTAAATCCCAAAATTTTTGCTTTTCACTCTTTTTGCCCTAAATCCATGAGGAATAGGCGGATTAATTATAAAAAATATGCATGGGGATTAGGAGACTTTGTGCTACAAGATGCTATTTGAACAAAATACTCCAAGAATTCTGAGCCGAGAAATTCAGTTGCAAACTTTAATGATCATCGCGGCCCTTCCGTGCCATAAAAAACCTTGAAGCAAAAGGCGATTGCAGGTCTCTTGTACTATTCAGCAAGGGTAGACCTAGTTCATTTGATGGAAGAAAAGCGCTAGGGTTTTCTCACTTTCCAGTGGAGAAAAATGAAATAATTTCAAAAATGACCAATTTTTGAACCCGCCGAGATGCCAGAAAAAAGTGAGTACTTTCGACTTTTCGCGATATTTTCTTTCAAATTTTTTCCGTAAAATTCAAGCTTGGCACTACTGCTCAAGAGACCTTTGGCTACACGATGAGCGAAATCTGCTTTATCCTACTTCGTTTGAACATAAGTTACGCTCTCTCAAAGTAGAGGCTTCTGAAAAAAGTTGTTGGTAAACATCAGGCTAGAAAATCTTTTTTGTGATAGATACAGTCACGCAAAAGTACGTGTTTTATAGCCACTGACTTGATGGTTGCAGCAGTTTTTATTGCGTCCAGAAATTTCTTTTCAAAAAAGAATCAGCTTTGTTGAAAGTTGAAGTATAGAAAACGTGCATTAATTATGAATCAACCTACTATATCATCGTAACGGGGTTGAAACGCGTATTCCAAATCTGCTTTTGTTTCTGCTGAACAACTCTACAAAAGAAATTATCAGCGTTTGAAAGTTCAAATCTGTCAAGTCTTAAGTGGTATAAAATTGACGAAAGTGTACAATAAAGTGAGCTTTTAGTTTTGTATCAAGTATACTGGCTACAAGGAGGGAAAACAGCCATTGAAAGTCCGCTAGGTGTTGTTTCAGAGCTTTTCGCTAATTTTATAAGCCACTTCAAAAACATGAAAAATTCAAACTTTCGACCTCACAGCTTCTTTCGCAGAGTCGTTTCGCAGAAAAAAAAGCAGATTCGGAATCACCATTTTAAGCCCGTTACGGTGATGTATAAATCATCCGGGTTGGCCGAGCTGACTTGAGAACTCTTCCTTGTAAGATAAAATCAGAAATTCCAGTACAATCCGCCCCTCCTCCCCAATATGTTTCGGCGAATGCGATGTACAGCGAAGTCTATATTGGTAGGGCCTCCCTAGCTAAGAAGGAGTTCGACAGTTCAGGTTTCGGCCAATTGTCTAACTGAGAGCGGACCATGCCAGATCTCCCGCTGGCCTCCCATAGCCCGGCGGTTCTCGCTCCAAAAATTCACTCTATCAGCTAGAAGAAAAGTAACAAACCTTCACATTGGATGGCGTCTACGGCGCCGAATAAACGCAATAACGATGTCGGGGTCCCTAGAGCGCCTTTTGCTTTGACAAAAACGACATGACTTCCCAGATGACACATTATAGGGACCGCTTCATATTCTGCACCTACAACGCCAAGGCAGTCTCCATAAATTCCAACCTCCAAGCTCGTCTCGACGCTGCGAGCCATTTAGTACCACATCATCGCTCTGCAGGAAACTAAGTCCAGGAAGAAGGACGTGTGACAGATGTGATGGCACTTCACATGCCGTTCATTTTGTCGATTCGCATGAGATTTTATCACCTACTAGCCATTATGCAGCGTATGAACTAGGTTTTACGAAAACGGAGAAGGTCGTTTGCAACGAAAAGGCCTTCCTACAAGTTTGTTGTCGACGAGTTCAATGCGAAAATCGGTATACCACTAAAAGAGGAGTACGGAATTCAAGAAATTTGGATATGGACTCCGGAACAAAAACGACAACCGTCTCATTGGCTTCTCTCCGCCGCACGGAGAGAAGCCCAATAAGACGCCGCTTTCTGGCTTCTCTTTCATGGAAATTCCATCTTTATGAAAAAAGAACATCGCCGGTGGACTTGGAAAGTCGCCCAATGGAACGACTCACTCGGAGATCGACCACATTCTCACCAACCGTAGGTGAAGCTTGCTCGATGTCTGAGTAGTTCCATCCTTCTGCAGTGGCTCCGATCACCGCACCCTTCGAGAGAAGGTACGAATCAGTCGGAGGCTGGAAAGGTCTGCCACAGTGCCGCAAGAAAGAAGAAAGTCGCTTATGAAGATGACAGGCTATAGGAGTTCATCTCATTTACGACTGGCACACCGAGAAGGACCCAACTTGCTACTTCCGGCCTCTGATAGACTGCGAGCAGCGGAAAAACTTACTTAGTGACTTCTAAGAAGAATTTGGAACGCATTTCGAAGACCACCAAGGAATCACTCAAAAGAAGAAAATTCCTGAGGCAGGATCCGAATGCAACCCCCATTTCGAACGATTGATACCAACGTTAGTTCAGAACAGCTTTGTAGGAGCATCTAAGGAAGTACAGGCAAGCCGTGATACGGAACACATAGGCCCGTGGTAAAGCTCGATCGGTTCAGGTGAACTGACCTTAATCCATCAGTTGATCTTAGGTGAGGTGAACTAATGGCCTCCACCTTCCCATGCGGTTGAACTGTACGTGAACTGATGTTAGACGAATGCAAATAGTGTGGAAAAGAGAGACGCAGAGAAGATCCCCATAAGTTGCTCCTGAGTAACCTATACACACCAATTTGTCTAACACTGCAGACAAAATCGGCGCAAAACTGCATAACCGCGCCCGAAAAGGAGAGGATCGATGAACAGCTGATTTTGGCGAGGAAAACAAAAACAAAACAAATTTCTCTTTTTTGCAGATATTACTGATTTTTTTTGAAGCTGTTCAAAACGAGAACTCATTTGTTCAATTCATTAAATTCACGCTGCAACCATTTCGTTTTTTCATAAAATTTTCGTCACAAAACGTGTTTTTGTTTTATCTGTGCATTTGCTAGGTGAAATCCTTGATAGCGGTCATAATCGATTACGATAGTGGCAGCTGTCAAGATTGCCCGATGATGCAGCAAAAGGTGTGTCGCTAGACGGATCGGACCACGGCCGCGTGTATACTTCCAATCGCTTGCCCGTTTTACCAAATCGGCTCAAGTGGTCACTTTTTCAAGAACATATTTGATTGTATGTCTAGGAAGCGATCCGCATCCAGATCAATGGCTCGCCGGATGCTAGACTGAGGCACCATGAAATCAACTGCGTCCGCCTCAAGGTAGCTGCCCTGATGGGGGGTTTACTACGGGCCATAGACTTGAAGACTGCCGAACGGACCTTTGTGAATATCAAGTACTGACTGCATGATCAAACGAAAACGGAAACCCTATCTCTTTCCGCTATGAGACGGAATTTGTCGCAAAGAACTTTATTGACTTTTTTCGCTCTTCGACACCCTTGCCGTTGCCCGCTAAACCTATAAAAGTAGTACACTCACGGATTCTACTAAGAGCTGACCGCGCTTCAGAACTTAAAGATCCTCACAGCTCCATGATAAATCACTTTTCCGTCGGACTTTTGCAAACTTGGAGGACAACGCCTCTCGAAATTCTGCGAATTCTAACATCTTAGCTTTAAAGAAAGGATTTTCGATTAGTGGAAAACTTTGAGGACCTCCTCGGATTTACTGTCCATTGTGTCTGGTGAGTGTGCTGTACAAACTTTACACGAACATTGTCTTTGCTCGCTTGGACACTGAATAAACTCAGTCTCAAGAACAAACTCTAGAAAATACATTGCATGGACAACCTCCAGACGGTTTTGAGGATTATAAAAGTTACTAAAGTACCGATCGTCTCTTGTACTAATTTTCACTGACTAGAAAAAAAGAATTTGACAGCGTCAAAACCAACGCCATCCTGTCAGCGCTAGTCGATCAAGGAGTGAACCCAGCTTACGTGAAGATAGTCAACTCCTACAAGGACTGTAAACGGTGATGCAGCTATCCATCGATCCTGACTATTAATTGGATAAGCGTCCGACAAGGCAACACATTCTCAACTAAATTGTTCGCCGCAGCTTTGCACTGGATGATAAAGTCACTGAGCTAGGACTAGAGGTATACAAATTGATGGAAGTTTCCTGTCGAACCTTCATCTTGCGGACGACATCGTTCTCTTTTCGAACGGCATCACTGAGGCAGAGACGATGCTGATGGAACTAATTGAAGTAGAGAAGAAGATTAGTTTGCAAATATCGAAGGAAGTCAGTTTATGACGCCCTTTGCGAATATGCGGAAATGGAATTGGAAGACACCCCTAATATGGAGACGTCTTCTTACGTGTATCTCGGACGTTCGATGAACATGGAGAACGACGGGAGGGAAGAACTTGACAGGGATGTAAGAGCAGCGTGGGCCGCCTTCCGGCTCCTGAAGAAATCTACCGAGCAACCGACACAGATCCGGAGCTTTGCTCACCTGTCCGACTTTCCCGGCCCTCTGTTCGGCAGCTAAGGCTTGACCCAACACTGTAGCCACGTCGAGAGTTTAGAACCCTTTAACTTCTGAAACGCAGTCTTATGAAGATGACCCGACACAAACAATATCTTGTCGGATTTCGTGGTACGGATATGAGAAAAATATCCCGTTTCCGTGACCGGGGGAACGGGCAAAAGCAAAGCATCGATTTGCCGGTCACATCATAAGAAGAACCGACGACAATTGGACAAAAGAACATCTGAGTGGATTCTTCGCGAAAAGCGTCTCCGAGGAAAACCTCCAACGAGATGTGCAGTTATGTTTGTGGAATGGACGAACCAGCTGAGGAATGCTGAGTACAATTTACACATCTGGAACTCTTGGACGCAGTCATCGACGACAGCCATAAGGTTTATGAAACGGAGAAATATCGGGAACTTCTGTACCTGAGCTCGCACATCAAATGAAGACAAACCGTTCGAGTATCCAAGTAACTTCGGTACTTCACATACATATACTCGTACATGTTGGATATTAGCAATTTTTTGAGCCGATTTGTTGGAGGCATGATGTGAGCATATGTCAAGATGACTGTGGAAGTAACAGTCTCCTGGATTCAAAACAGTTTTTTTTTGGTATTTAATAAAATCTCAGCGAAATAGATGCCGTAGTCAAAAACTTATAGAAGAAATGAAAATTTAAAATTTGATAATTTAGATTGTTCTATCTTTCACTTAGTTTAGAGTGAAGTGTGACAAACCTACTTCGACAGGTTTCATTACTGACACTCTGCCTCATAAATAAAATTCGCTAAGTCTTGCCCTCTGTCTGTTTTCCAAAACGAGCTTTTGTTTGTGACATTATCAAAGTGTGAACTGGAAAACTGAGAAGTCAAGTTTTTTGCCAAAGTAAAAGCAGATTATTGGATTTTTACTTGATTCATTAAAAATTCCACTTTTCACTTGTTTCTGTTTACCTGACCTGTGGTCACACGCGTAATTGTTCGTTATCTTATTTTTGTAGGGCTACTAGATTCATATTTAGTGCAATGTTTGACGCGCAAACTAAGCGGCATTTTCATATTCCAACGCGATAAAGTACTGCCGCTTCTCTCACAAGGTCAAAAGAGGGGCTTTATTGTAGCTAGGGGCTTTCCAGCGGCGTTGGTTCAATAGCGGCTCGTTGGGGAAAGACGGGTAGTCGGATAACACTTACCGTTTTGCCTCCCGATTATACGTACCTCTCATTTTCTTCTGCACTTTATCGTTGAGTATCACAAAGTGACTGTAGCTGGTTTTGTCTTCGGGAATCGGATGGCTAGCTATCCATTTGCCACAAGTGAATTCATAGAAATCCTCGCATGGATTTACCTGAAGTGCATTCCATTGATGAGGGTAATCCAAAAGTAATGGGGCACCTTGATTTTTTTGCAAGTCTGTAAGGTTGCGTTCTGATTATCACGAAAACCAGAAGTTTTGACACTTTTATACAAAGTGACCTTCGCATGTTAACCTGACAGCGCCTTTTAGAGTCTTTTCCACGATCATTCGAGTGACGCTTCGGAAAAGTAAGGCACAATTTTTGGACGCCATCTGAATTTGTGCTGCCGTATCTCAAAGTTCGGATTGACATACCATACATACCATTTGAAAGGGCTTTCTAAGCTGTTTTGGAATATTATAATGTACAAAAAGTCAACATCATGCTGTATGAAGGAGGCAACTTATTTGAACAAGCGCGATATTTAGGCATTTTTAGCCTCAAAATCATGTTTTAACTCACTATTTTTTGAAAATAGAAAAATCAAGACTTTACGGTACCGCTTACAGAATGTGCAGCCGCGGAAGTCCGCGACATGGAATGACTCGAAATGGCGCGATTCACGCAAACTACGCAATGTCATAATTTGCTTCGTGTGTAATGATCTGATGTTCTGATCTTAATGTTCTAAAACCGAAAAAGCATTGTGCTCAGCTTATCAAGGCAATACTTTTGATATACAGTATGCCCTCGATATTCCCTTTTTAGTTTTTGCAAAAAAATTTTGCGAACGTCTTTTCGCAAGGATGTACTGCAGCGCACATCACAGACTCTAGGAAGCATCTTTTAATAATGTTATATCGTGGATGATCGAGGGTTAGAAAGCAGCCGGAAACCTATTTTCAAAAGCGGTAAAAGAACTCGTAAATTCTGGAAAAATCATGTCGTTCTGGGTACTCAACGTAATCTTGAAATATGAAGCTAATCCAACTAGGCAAATGTGATTTTCGTAATCAGCAGCCAGGTCAGATAATCTCTATGAGCAAGTTTATCAAGAAGCTGCGGTCATTTGATTTCTTCCCCTTTTATGCTCTGAAGCATCGCGTTGGGTTTCGGTCAAATGATGATCTTATATTGAAAGAAAACTTCTTCATATAGGCTCTTGGAGCTGTTTACGGAAACCGTGGTTTTCGTGGAGTACAGTGTCTTATGACAGAGATATGAAGAGGAAGCTGTAGCTAGGTCACGAAAGTTCGTAAATTTGCCTGCACTTTTCGCGTACGTATCGTGAAGTCATTCGTAACTTAATATGCGTAGTGCACACTTTGCACGTTAACTGACGAACTGCGAAACTAGAACCTGCTCCTTCCCAGTCATTTCATCTTATTTCCTTGTTTCTTTTGATTTAGTTGGTTATATGTTAGCCAGTAAAACACATTTATACATTTTGTTAGGCTAGAAAATGTTTTACTGGGAAGTTCCTAGTGTGGGTACCGTCGCCAATAGGGCTTAGTGTGCAATCTCACTTATTAAGTAACAAATGACTCGAGGTTAAGAAAGAACTCGATTGTTTGAATTTATATGTCAAAGTTACCAGAAACCATGGTGTTGAACGGTGCATGTCTTAGGGTACGATTATACTTTCGCCGAGTTACGAGCTTACGAAATTACGTTCTCATAATTGTTGCACAAAACGCAAAAATCGTATCGAAATATCCTTGTAAGTAGTTGTATATTACGCTATATGCAAATTTTAAGTTACTTCGCAAATCTTACCTTCTTGGATGTGAGATAGATCTAAGTGCTGCACGAAGCTGCTTTGATATCTAACTAGGTGGCTGAAGCCCACACAACTACCGTATCTAAAACCAGTGCGTCACCTCTGCTCCGCAGAGACTCGCTCTGGCCCTACTCTCTGTATGCCTTACTCATTCCAGCATAATAATGACATTGAAACTATAAAACTAACGCGCTATGCAGGCTCTCACGAATGATTTGTAAACAACTACTCATTCCGAAAGCTTTTTTGTGTGAGATCGGTATTCGCGTGGATGAAACTTTTCAGAGAAGAATAAATGCAAATTTGAACCGGTTTTTGGACTTTTTACGGTTTGGTAGTCGCCATAACAACTATTACTACAGTGGGCTACATCTCTGTGCAAAAATCTTCTCTAATGATTAGGTAAAATCTTGGTGAACATTTACGCAACTAATTTTTTTCGGCGCCATTTTTGTGAAGTAATCAACTTTAGTTCAATTTGTTGGGCTAAAGTCCATGACTTGCGCCTTAGCTTGTTAAACATATCCATGACTTTGCAAAAAGTGGTGGTACAGGCCCAATTTTGCTGGCCAGAAGCCAAGTGGATCCGTTTTGAGCACAATTTTTGAGGGATCTTTTGTAACGGATCCGCTCGTGCTTTTGCATAGCGGGCTTTCATGCTGCTAGCATGCGCCTTGCAAAATTTGGGCTCAAGAGGTTGGATGGAACTCGCTCTACGAATTTCGTAACGGACAGACAGACAGACAGACACACACACAAAAACACGTAAACAACCCTTTGCCCGTTATTATAAGTCATGATGATAGGATCCCTTGAGCGAAGTGAACATAAAATCAAACCTCGTGATCTACAACTGCTCATGAAGTTTCGACGAAGTATGCGATCTTTGCGTTTTGGACAACATTCATGAGGACGGTTTTGTGGTTCGCGACTCGGCAACTTTTATAGACTGGGACCTAAAGTATCGGGCATACTTCACACGATTTCAGTCGCGACACGATTTGGCAATATTCCAACTGTCCAAAACTCACTGTAAGCACATCTTAATGTACAGACGATAGGGCATTTCATTAATTCGCGTAAGTTAGACACACTGTGCATGTGCAGTTAGTGTTGGATCTGAAGACTTCTGGCGAATTGCCACATCCGCGACTAAAATCGCGTGAAGTATGCTCGGCCCTTAAAGGCAGCGTACACCCAAAATTTTACCCTCGATGTTTTTGTCATTCTGGTTCCTTTCCGTGCTGCTGATTACAGTTATGTCATTGGAATCTTTCAAAAGTCCCAAAAAACCCCGATTTCCGGGGACCCTCTCTTCAGGTGCGGACGAGTTTCGAATGCTCGTCCCCGTCGGCATGCCAGCAGCTGCAACAGCATGACAGCCAGCAGTTGCAAATGCAACTGCTGCATATGCTGTCGTGGTTCGTCGCCCGAAGGAGGCGCACCGCAAAAAGCAATTGCACTGTTGCAACTGCAGTTGCAGGTGCAACAACATTGCAACAGCAACTGCAACGGCAACTGAAGCTTACGCTGTCGTGGATTCGTTCGGAGGAGGCGGAGTGAAAGAAAAGGGGAAAGGGGAGGAGTGAAAGAAAATTGAGGGGGATTTTCTCCGCTCAGAAGCAACATTGGGAGACCGGACTAACGCAGTTGGTCTTCTTCTGAGCCCAGTATCACGGTATAAAAGATCTAGAAAATTCGGTAACTTAGATTTTGGGTGTACGCTGCCTTTAAGACGTCCTCCGTTCTAGAGATTTTAACCTGTAAAGACAAGTAAACAAAGTCTCTAATCACGCGAAAACTGCAGGGATGTACCAACTTCGTGTCTTAGGCTGCGTTCAGACTGATTTCGAAATCCGGGAACAGTTTCAGCACAGCGCTCATTTCAAGCGCTGTGCTGGAACTGTTCCCGGACTTCGGGGTCAGTATGAACGCAGCCTTAGCTACGGCTCACTCACCATATCTCTGCAAAACCCTCTACTCTGCAAAACACGATTTTCGCAAACACTGTTCAAAACATGTGGGTTGTGTTCAAAACTTCGATGAGAGTTCCCTTCCAATCCAAGATCATCGATACTAGCCAAAACCCATCGGTAAGCCTCGGAGCGAGAAAGAATTAATTTACCCGAACTTCATAGAGAACTTCATACTCTGACCTGCTGAATGAGGGCGACATAATTTATGAAGAATTCACCAGCTCTTCTATCGCTTTTGAAAATAGGTTCTTGGCTGCTTTTTAGCGCACGATAATCTACGGATATGGCACTATCGAATAGTGCTTACTAGAGACTTTTATGTGTGATGTGCGCTGTTAGATCCTTACGAAAAGACGTCCGAAGAAAAATTTGCAAGAACTGGGATAAAGGAATATCGAGGACATGCTGTGTATTAAAAGAATCGCCTTGATGAGCTGAGCACAATGCTTCCGGGTTTAGAACATCTTCATTCCGAAAAGAAGTTACGGCGAATGTATCTTGCGTGATCCGCCTCATTTTGCGAAGCTCCCGGAATTTCGCGATATTTAATTTTGCACGTTCTGTGAGCGGTGTTGTACATGTGCGTGACAGAACCTAAAAAGGTCTATCAGATGTCGGACGTTAAAGGTGAGCTCATTGATTACCTTAATGAAGGGATAAATAATATGTCTTTTGATACGCATTGCTATATCTTCCGTGCAAAGCGTTTAGACACCAGGCTATTGTGATTTTTGCGACTCTTTTAACCCACTGCGACACGGATATTTTTCGTAATCCTTTTTTATTGGGCGCTGCTGCTCAAAGTACGAGATTACTTGTAGTGAAAAATGACACATGCGACAATGCTCATTTATAGACCTCGTTCAGAAGATTTTAGCATGCACCAATATAAAACTTGAGCATCCGATGATTTCCTTTTCGAAAAAACTCCATTTATTCAAGTGCCCCATTACTTCTGGATCATTCTAATAGGTCTTGAAGGCATATGCAAGACAACCTACCGAAAAGTTGAGAGACTCTCTGAGAATTTCTGATGCTATTCCGTATCCTTCGTCATCTGCTGATGAGCCGATGCCCATCACATTGTCTTCGTAAGCTGGCGTAGTTTCAAGGGTACACCAACACAGAGGCACAAAAAGCAGTGTCCAGCGCATTTAGACTTAATTCACAAACTGCTTAACAACAATAAGCGCAGGATTCATGACGGGAAATATTCAATTTATAAATCTCAAAGTTAAAGTCAGTTTTGTCTGTATGAATCTATAAATAACAGAAATCCATTGCTGAATGGATCGCCCAAACGTTGCATACATACTCGGGGCTGTGCGAGTGTTGTAGGCTATTTTTCCGTTATAAAACAATCTTATCGATTTTAACTGTGAACAATGTTAGGGAATTCTCATAGAGGGGTAAGTGAGCATGCTGAGAGGTGAAGGGGGGGGGGGGGGGCAGAAAGCTGGCACGTGCAATCGGTCTATCGGGAACAGCTCCGAGCAGTGCAATAACACTATTATAAGCAGGCTGTTTTCTAGCCATGGTATAACTATAAGCAACAGTCGTAGCTCTCACTTACCAGTAGAAGAATGAGAAGCACACATGGAAGCACATGAAGCACCCATGGCTATTTTTTGCTAAAAGGTTGGCTCATTTGTTGCTCATGGCTTGTAAAAGAGGTGCAGGGACAGGAAAGTGTTGTGAAGAAATGGAACGGAATAGTAAGCTCTACCATGTTGTGACGTTAGTGAGCGAGCCGGGAAGCCCAGGTAGTAAATGGATAATAACGAGTAAACATGTGTATGTGCACCAATCCAAAAAAACGACATCGTTCCTTTTCGTTGCTCGCTTCAGGACGAAGTGAGTGAAATGATCCAGATGTACGTGGTCATGGTTTTCATATGTCAAATTCCAGCGGTTTATTCCTGAAACTGTCAAAAAAATACCAGGATCGTTTCATAGGAATTGTTTGGGATTGAATTTTATGAGAGTTATTCGGGACTGAACGCCTCATTTTGTAGTAAATTTTGTTTCATAATAATCCTCAAAAAAATCAACTGTGTTTTTTTTCTTGTTGCTTCAAAGTCTACCTTTATTTTTTTTGAAGAGAGGCATTCAATGTATACAAACCATCTCCACTTTCTAACAAGCATGTTCAAGTAAAAACTCAATTTGAGGCCGTTTCTGGTTTTTATGCTTACAACTATATTGCAGCAAGCACCGTCCGTACCCTTGGCAGAGTGGCAACTTGGAGAAACTGCTATTGATTGTGCAAACTACAAGCCTCGTCACATCGTGATCAGAGAAAATTAGGCTCTCTCCAAATTTTGACCGGTTGTTTATTTCTTCGGATCGTTACTTTTTGAACCGTAATCTTTTGACCATCTCTCGATAACGTTCTTATCTGCTCGTGTCCGGCTAATTCTCGATGAGTTTAATCTGGAGGCTGCTGCATGACCGAGGCATATGTTCAGAGGCGAAAACGGCTTTATTAGACGCAGAGGGTTTGTCTTTGTGGCGTCTCGAAATAGATTATCAAATACTAGGATTTATATAAGAGTTATTCCTAATGACTGTCACTAACTTCCTTCAAAGATCAAAAGCAATAGCTACAAATTCTTCTCCATTTCCTTTGAACTCAAAGTTGTAAAAGTTGCTCTAGTGGGTATCGTGCCCCAGCCCCCCGACAGCGTTCTACCGCTCAATTTTTGCTCGCCATATCATGTAATTATCAAGTTTTTGTCATCCTTTCATAGCTTTTGATACTTCTTCACCCAATCTTTGCTTGAATACCGCTCAAACGTACGTTCAATGCTTTCCTGTTTTATACTAGGTTACTTTTTTTGGTGAAAAGGAGGATTACGATTGGAATTGGATAGAGGACAGAACTGGGCCTAATTGTAGAAGACATTTGAAGGATTGCTGAATGCGTCTTTCTTTCTTCTGTCTTTTGAATAGTCAAGAAAATGACTGCAGCCTCTAATTGCAGGCGGAGACTTTTGTTTGCGAAATGGTATACGGTGGATCGTTGCATGAAGACACCACTAGCGGCTCCAATGGTAGTCATCAGCACATCTACAATGTTAAGTTTGAACGACAAAAGCTTATATAGAGCACTTGCTGTTATCCCTGCAAAAATTTTGCTTGCAAATCAAAAGTTTTACATTGCTCATACCTATCCTTCAGCAACAAAGGTGAGGTCCAAAGTTATTCAGGAAATCTAATCGTAGACGTTTTGCATACCGCGATGAAAACCGGCACCCTACCGTAATTTCTGCAGTTTCCGACAGAGCATGACATATCCATGTATGGAAGAACCGCCACGCCGCTGAGTTTGATGCTCATGTATAAAAGTTCTCCCGCTCTTGCCGAGATAAATTGGATAAAGTGTTTTCAAAATTAAAAGCTTTTTCATTTTTGTTACCACATGAAAATAGGTTATCACTCTGGGCAGTAATGTGACGGCAATTTGTAGTGTGAGCAACATGAAGCAGCTAGAAAGACTGCTGGATTATTGATTTCTACGTCAAAACAGTACCGCAAGTGGAAAGAAAGGGGCACCATAATTATAGATTTTAGCATTTACAACTATATCATGACTTACAACTTTACGGCTTATCGTTAGTGCTTATGTCAAATTTTCTACATAAGCACTGGTGAAATTGTGCTCATGCATTCAACAAAATTCATTACGAAAATGATTGCTAACATTGCTATGGGCTGCAAACATCAGGTTTTGAATTCATTAAATCAAAAGGTTGCTTTATTTCTATGTTCACGCTTCTCCAACGCCTTTATCGCTAAATCAGAGCAAAATGCTGCCACAAAGCATATTTGTTTTTTCTATTGGCGGTGAATTTAAGCATATGCAATGAAAACATGTAAATTAGTTGGATAATGCGTATGTTTTCTAAGCCGTTTATGGAGAAGGACTAAGAATTTGCGGCCTTTACATTTCGATCTATCATGCTTGCATCTCCATTTCTACATTGATTCTGTCGTAAACGTAATGAGCCTACCGTAAAGTTTATGAGGATAAGCAACCGCGAATGACATGTACAACTCACATCCTCACAGAAATCTATAATAGAAATGACAAGAAATAAGTGGTGCAAAAGGAGCAACGCGCAGAAATCATACTAGAATTATTAGGAAATCCTACGTGAAACGTGGAGCTACAACCAGACGGTGTTAGTTCATCTATCTTTAACAAGGTATCTTTCAAACTTAGAAGATTACACGAACAATTTGGCACTCGAAATTACAAATCATTGAAGTTGAGAGTGGGCAGTACACTGAGTATTGGTATCAAGCTGTGTATTCCAGAGAAGAATGCAAAATATATAGTTTCTTGGCTGCGGCTAAATGCACGTTGGAGATTTTGCGCTCCAACTAGAATTTTGAACTTCTGTCCATATTTAAATGCTATGATTTTTTCAACTTAATGAAGCAGATCTAACGTGAGCCAGCATGCACTATGAGCAAATCACAATACAGGCCCCGTAAAATCCAATTGCCCACGCATCGCTTTGAACACCAAGGCGCGGCACGGCTGGAAACGTTTGGTCCCGAAGCGCTACAGGCTTTTTGAAAGCGACAATGAGCGCGCACCCTTTCCTCACATATTTTTTAAACTTGTGAGGGGAGCTTTCGTCTAGATATACCTTGCATTGACGAGAACAACATGAAAGCTAAAGGAAGATTTTCTGGAATACAGTGAACGCCGACTTTCGTTCGCGACTACCGCTCGCCTACGCTGGTGTTCAAGGCACGGCGCGGGCAATTAAGTTTTACGGCGCCTATACATGCTCGGTATGAAACAGTCATGAAAATGTGCACGTGTTTAGGTCGTAAGTAAAGAATCCTAAAATCGAGCCCATTTTACAGCGCTCCTGTCCAGTAAAAGCCAAGACAGTTCGAATAGATAGACAAAATAGATACCAAATCAAGTTGTGATAAAGAGGAAACTTATGCGTGAGCGAAGGCTCCATCACTCCTTATATACGCTGGAAGCTATCGTTCAATGTTACTTAGAGGAAAAAAATAATTAACATGTATAACAGACTGTCTTGGAAAAATCAGTCACTGAGCTGTCTTAGTCATTTTTGCACGAACCAAACCTTTGTAAAGAAGGCGATGTGCAATAAATCACTGGTCATTTTGTATCAAAGGCGAGATGCATCATTTTGGAAAAAGTCGTTTTGCCAGTTTTGGAAATTCTGTTAGGTCAGTTACTAGTTTTGTCGGTTTTTTGAATCTACCGGCAAACACGGTGGAATAAAGATAAATAACCACCTTGAGCTGTGCCCGATGCAGAATTCATTCCTCTTTCCAATTGTTGCATTCTCAGTATGATTTGTTGAGAGAGTGCTAAGACAATCGTCACTTTCAACTCTCATTACCTTCAACTTTCCTTAACTTCCAAAACTTTTATCTGAAGCATTTGGGTGAGCATTAAGAACCAGCAGGTGGGGCAAACCTTTTGCCAAATGAAAATATTTTTTCTTCTTTTTTACAGCTGCTCTTTTACTTTTTGCTAAATTCCCAAGTTTTAAATTTTGAAAGAATCCCATAATTTATAGAGTAAAACACTGCAAAAATTTCATAACACTGAGGTTTTGACACTTTATTATTTCTATTACTAACTTTACTAAACAAATAAGCTATTTTGCTTCGAAATACGAAAATTACGCAGGTCAGTGCACACTCATGAAATGGAGAAATATGCGACTTTACTCTCGAATTTCGCTTGTCTTCAAAGAAAAAGATTGTATCGTGTGCCTGAACTGTTAACCATTTTATGTTCTACGAGGTTAGAGTAGACCGAATATGAAGCTTGACTACTTCAAAAGTGTATTCTCTTCTGAAAGACAAGCTACAGATCGACAAACAATTTTCTCAAGTGGGCAAAAGGGTTGCGTCTACCTGCTTGTTGTTAAAGCTCTCTCAAAATTCTCAGATAGAAATTTAAGAAATAAGCGAAAGTCTGAGATGTTGAAAACGAATGGTTCTAAGTTCCAGCGTTTATCTCGTCACTCTCTTAACGAATCTCATCATTTGGAAAGACGAAAAAGTCTTGCATCAGATACAGTTCAAAGTGTCTTTTTATTCTATTATACCTTATTCACCGGTGCGCTCAAAAAAACTGACAAAAGTTTTGCACCGACCCAATATGATTCAATGTGGGACGACCGGGTTTCTGCACGGTTGTGAAATTCAGGCTATCCAGTGTGTCAATTTTCATTGAAATTTTTGTCTAAAATTAGCAATGAAGATAGGATAGCAAATGAATTAGAAGACGTCTCGCAGCATGCCATTCTGGACTTTTGTCAAACTTGCAGACTAAATTTGTGTTTATGTGATTGATAAATGTGCAAAAAAGTTTGCCTAATCGTTGCTGAATGTGCCGAAAGAGACAAACGCCTTTCTGTTCTCTGGGTCTCACCGCTGAAGTACCGGATTTCTTACAAGAAAAGGATACTTGGTGACCGTGGCCTTTTAAAATAAAACATACCATAATATACCAATACCATTAAATGCCATACCATAATATACCAATACCATTAAATGCATCTTGAAGCGCTGATTCCAAATCTGTTTTCATTATCTGCTGTGCGCTCCCGAAAGAAGCTATGAACATTTCTTGTCGCTAAACTTTGCACTGTTTTTGATGCAGGATTCACCAATATCGTTAGAATGTTCGCTTACCCACTAGAAAAGAGTGTACAGATAAAGTAAAGCTTTACGTTAAGTTCAGGAAAACTGTGACCAATACATCAGAGTCTAAAAAGCCTGGATACTGACGATTTTGAATGCCTAAATCTCGCAAAATTAATATGGAAAAAAGTCCATAACTTTGTTCAGTGAGTCGCAAGCAGGTAATGAACATAGATTTAGAATCAGCATTCCAAGACGCACCTACTGGTATACATCTCATTGCAAAAGGCCACGGTCAGCAAGTATCCTTCCCTTGTTAGCAAAGGGTTAAAATTTACACTTGCAGTACTTCATTATTGTCTGCCAGAAAATTCTCAAACTATGAACAAACTATGAGCAAGCACGTAACGCTAGTTTTTCAGATATTATGTCACAGAAAAGAATCAAGTCTGTATCTAGAACAACCCCGCTTTGATCCTTTAGAAAAGCCTACCACTATTGATCTCGAAGTGGAAGGTCAAGAGCTCATGAGCTTATCCATGTGGACTTATCCGGCCTTGACTTGTTTACATGCTATTTAGAGATCAGAAAGAGGTCAGGCACAAGTCTTTCGAAAACGAACGACCCCCCCCCTCTCCCTCCCCATAAAAACCCTCAAACGACCCCTCCTTTCTCCTCTTGACCTCCGAAACTTCAGCGTGACATTCTGGAGAACATATCCTTTCCTAGAGAGTTTTCAATTTGGAGAGCTGTACGCCTAAATTTCTATGACAGCACTTTACAATAGCACGTAATTTGACGACTGATTTCGATGTGAAAATGGACCTATTGAAAGGGCCATAGATTCTCTAGAGGAGGGCAGTCGGCTTCAAATTTCCACCTTAGCAAGAAGAAGCTATGAGCTTAACATTTCAGGAATGGAGGGATTTCTGGATTTTGAAGGCAAGTTAAGGGGTGAGGCGCTCTACATGATTCGCTAGCATAAACCTCGAAGATTCTACATTAGGTTTTTCAGCTTACCTTAACTTGTTTTGGCTTTGTAGTGATCGGTGGAGTTGAAGCACTCGTAGAAAACGGGAACTAACATTCTTGCAGCACTTCTTAATCCATTATTTGAAAGCGGTATGAAGTCTAATTTCTACCATAGACTGATATGGAGTATCACTTTGTTATGAAAACCAAAAAACTAGCTTCTTTCACTTTTGTAACCAAGTCAATCATGTTTGGAAATCATGCTTTTTAGACGTTAGGAAACAATAGAAAATGTAATAGGTATGGTTTGAAGAGCTCGTTAATGTAATTTAGCATGCTGATTATGGGAATCATACCCAATTTACATAAAGAGTTTCTTTGGTGGCTTTACGGCATGTGTAGGGTAGAAAGATTGAAATTTGGAGGAGACTTTGTTAGTCGAGTTAATCAGCATGCTCTTCACTACAGTCACTCTGGTAGAGTCGTGAGATTCTTCACCACTTGATTCACCTTACTTGATCATAGTGTTTCCTCACTTTTTCAAACAAATTCGCTTCTTGATTACGACCCTCCTTTTTCTTTCCGCTCCTGCTCATAATTACAAAATAATAGTGTATCTGTAATCAGCATGCTCGTTTGTCCGCTTTGCCAACACCCAACCCCAAAGGTTAAACTTTACAAAAAATTGATAAAAATCGATAAAATCGATACCGATCAATGACGAAAAGTAGCCTATTCAAAAATAGAATTTTTTATTCGAAACATAAGTTCATACAGACGTACAGACATACAGACAAACAGACATTCAGCTCCACATATTTTGTAACCGTGGGCTTTCTTATAATTTTATGCATGGTAACATGATTTTAAAAAAAGAGGGGTCGTATCTGGGTAGCATTTAGATTTTTCCGAGCTATGGAAGTCTGATCGCTACAATGGTGCTATATTACGACACCACCCTCCTACTTTCTTCCTCCCTGAGGGTTTCAGGCTGTTTTGATGCGTCTCTAGTGAGCTACAGATTTTTTAGCTCAAAGATCTCACTTTTGGTTTTCAAGATCGCCTCTGAATTTAGAGCCGCACCAGGGCTCGGCACAGGTCGTCTGGAAGCAGGCTGGACTTCGTTTTTGTAGAAAAAAAACAAAGGAGATATCGTTTTTGACGAGTCAGGGCCGAGCACCAAGGATAAGCGCCATTTGGTCGAAGCTTTTCGGACAAGTTATCGCACGATAACCTGTCTGAAAGCATGCTGGCATGCTCTATCGTGTATGGCGAAAAATGAATATATACATACAAAACTATTTGCAAAAGTATTATACAGAAAAGATTTGAAAACTCATAAAAGAAAGAAAATAAAAGAAAAACGAAATATTGCCTTTTTTAAACTTAGCCCATTTCCAGACGGTCATTAGACGATCTGAGATCGTCTGGAGCGTATAGTTCT